AAAAATAAAGTTGTGATACCTCAATATATATACACACACATAGTGAGAATTTGCATGTACACAGTGACAATGATCATGTGGTTCCATAATCCTTAGATTGCTAAATAGTTCAGAGTGTATGTGTGGAAGGGTTTTATTGTCAGGAAAACCAAAGCACAGAGCAATAAAATATGACCTCCTCTATGTGCTAGTCTATGATTTTTTTTTAATGGCAATGTTAATTTTTAGTAAGTGGAGACAGAACTCAGAAAACTGAGAGCTCACAATGACTTTGATAGGGGGGTTGTATAGAAAATATACTTTCTAACCGAAGATATATCGAAAATATTAATAGAGAGCTACAGATAAAACGCTAAAACTATTAAAACCTGCTTTCCCAGAACTAACATGCATGCAAGTAGGCAATTAATTACTAACCCCTGCAAACGGCCTGAAAAGGAGGCCCGGAATGCTGGAGAAAGCAGCTGATAAGGGGAAACAGAAAAGAAGAAACCAAGGATGTAATTCATGGTTCAAAGGTGTCAAAGGCAGGAGGAGATAAGGGCTAACAAGGGCTAGCTAACATCCATCTTCAAACAATAACAAAAGGGAGGTAGCCAGATGTGCACTCAAGGACAGACCAGCCCGAAACAGGTCTGGAACTGGGAGCTCAGCCAAATTAGAGATTTCAGGGGAGAGGTGAAAAGTATACAGCGAGGAAGACATACGGCCTTCATCCCTGAAGACCCACGGCCTTCATCCCTGAAGACCCCTGTTCACGACCACCTGGAGGGACTGTGCAAGGGCACCAAGGAGGGGCCCAAGGCGGAGATTATGGAAATAGAGTGACCGGAAGGAACTGCCTTTTTGGAGATAGATCATGAATAAGTGTATGTGCCTCTGGAATATGTAGTGTTTTAATTGTATAAATACTGGACAAGCGGTCACGATGGGCGTGCACGTTTGTGGTGGAGCGATCCCCCGTGCATCTGCGCACAATAAACATACCCACTTTATAACCTTTCAGGTTGTAAAGGTTTTTTTTCCGCACTTCAACTTCTGCCAGTACTTTGAAATAAGATACTTCAGAGAATAATAGGATATAGATAAATAGATGTATAGTGGAAAACAAAGTAAGTTTAAAGCATTTCTAAGGATTTGCTTTAACACCTCTCTCAAACAGAGTTTTGGCTACTAAAGCAGTCTGCATCATGGCACTCAGGTTCGAGCTGCTAGAAGTCTCTCTTCACTGTCTGATATTCGTCTGTGCTCACCGCTTCCCAATAAGTTTAAATCATGGGCAAATCAACCATTCCAAGAAGTGCTGGCTACATTATTTAATTTCTTATTTTTCTCCAGTCCAAACTTAAGCTATATTCTCACAGATTATCGGTTTATGATGCTACTGAAAGATCAGTTGAAGTACTTTAGGCCATAATAGTAAGAGATATGTAAGTCATGAAAAGATCTGACTGAGTCTACTGACAGTCTTTTGTTTCCTTGTGTAGGACCTATGCAGACAGATAACCTTGCCAGAACTGGCTGTTTTTTATTGACTACACCATTGCAGAACCCTCACATACCCGTCTCTTGGCCTTTATCACTGCTTCTGGAAGCATCAAGGACTAAACATAATTCCTGCAATGTTCATTGATGCCGTTGGTAAAGCTGTTTGAGGAAAGGAAACATCCATGCTCCTAGTCCAGTGTCTAGTGGAATTACTCAAATCACTATGCTGGTCCACATCTGTTTGAATCAGCAAGGGTCCACGTATTGGAGACTTCCAAACAAAAGAGGGCCATGACACTATATAGAAGACAACAACAAAACAAAACAACAAAAAAATCCAGGAAGGAAAAAAACCCTACCCCCACCTCCTGCAAACAGCCACCCAAGAGCGTGGCTTAGCGAATAAGTTCAATGTAACAATGGAAGTCTAGGTTTTTAAAGAACATTTGTGTGTACTGAGTTACTGGTTTGCTTCAGTCAGCCTCACTGTATAATGAACAGCAGGCAAAGTAACATTTCTATAGCAAAAATGTAGAAACAGCTTGCTAGAAGCTTGCTGGTTTTGCTTCATCTTGACACAGTATACTTCCCAGACTTTGATCTCTATTCTGTTAATAAATGGACAACGTCAAGACTAAATTTTAAAATCAGTCAGAGTGTCAAATTCAGATTGTGCAACTGAAATGGCATTGCCATCAACTGAAGAATGCCAAAATACACCCACATAAATCACATCGGACTTGTGTCCATTTGGTCAAAAAAAGGATCGCTTGCCTCCACAGAGCTTTCCTGAGAAAGCAACCAATCATGTAAGCAAAGTCACAATTATTTTCACTAATACTGCAGCCGGTAGCATCAGTATCCAACAGCTCTATATTCATTTCCCCCAGTTTTTTCCTCTGTGTGTTTGCTCAGTTTACAAACCAAATTCAGCATGTGCTCTCCCTGTTTTTCCTTTGTTATTTAATTATAAATACTAAAAAGTCTAGTTCCTGTAGTCTGCCTCATTTACTTTGTATGTTTGGGGCTAAATGAAATCAAACAAGCCAGATTTAGATTTAAGAGCTCCCTGAACTGAGTGATCTCCAGCAGATTCAAAACAGCATGAATTTTCCAGCTGCTTTTTCTCCCAAACTGGTGGAAAGCATGGTTGACTTTCTCAGGGAAAGTGGCACATGGAGCCAGATTAACAATATCTGTACTTCCAACTCCCTGACATACAAAGAAAATCACATTGGGGTATAGGAAAGGGCAAAAAATTGTCCGTCTTCGAAAGGTAAAGAATAGTTTTTAAAAACATGGTTTTCACCCAGCTGTTTTGACCTGTTAGGTTTTTTTTTTCCTCCCATCCATATTGTGAATTGATGCATTGTGCTGAGCTGAATAAATCATGCACTGTGGCATGTGACAGATACAAGGCTTCATGAATCACAGTACTGAAATGCTTCATTAGATTGGGTAAAAACAACCCCAAAATTTCACCTGCTTTAACTATGTAAAGCCACAGTGTTATAAGTCTTTGTGCAATTCAGGGCCATGTTATGACTTCCGTGGCAATAACTGTAGCCACAGTATCTCTAATTTCACCTTCTTCTCTAGTTAAGTTCCCTTCTGCTGCCCACTTAATCATCAGCATTCTTCAGAGAAATCCATGCTCTGTCTCTGCTGTCATACAAAAATTCTGGGTATGATATTCAGATTCATGTTTTAGTTGGTGAGTTTTGTCCTCTGACGAGGTCACACTTTTGTACTAACTCTCTGCCTTATTAAGCTGCCTGTTGTTAAAAACAAACCATCTTTACTACTGTAACATCACTGAAATCAGCAGTAAAATAGGAATAACAGAGTATTACTTTGGGATCGACATCCATTTTGCTGAGACTTTTTTCACTGTGTGCTGTAAAAACGTTCATGGATCTGTGTTTTAGTCTTACAGATATTCACACATAAGTATTCTACATATTAAGAGTTCTGGAAATTTGAAGTGTGTAAACTACTGGTGTGACTGAAAAAAGTGCCTCCCATGCCACTATGGCATGTGGATGACAGAGAAGCAGCAAAGCTGATGCTCTTCTCTGCTGAAAGCTATTTCTGAAAGAGAGGACTACAGCTGAAATCATACAATTATTGATGATTGTTGTGATTATTATTATATTGGCAATGTGATTATTGAGAGCCCTGTGCAATGAAGTCAGTGGAAAAACTACAGCTGGTTGCAATAAGAATTGGATGGGCTTTATGACTAGTCATCTGAAAGTAAAGAGACAAGGGGAGAAAAGCCTGGTACAGATTTGCCGTGTGTAAAAAAATCCTCACTGCCTGTGGAAAATTACAACTGACAGATCACAGGGTGTATTCTGAAAGCTGCTTTTAAGTACATCGTAAGTATTGCTTTCTGGGGTGATCCAGTGATAAATTACATCCCAAACTGTTGTTTGCTTTCATGGAAATACTATTTCCTTTCTGAGATGACACTCTCAAAAAAATTAAAATCCTTGTGTGGCAAAGCAGGTGGTAACAAGATGTCTGGGCTAATAAATAGTAGACTAGACAGATATTAGGCAAGAAGTAATCCTAACTTTTGTTGTCAAGAGACAGACATAACTATTGTCCAAAATAAGGCAAGATTTTTGCTCTCTGATAAGACAGAATTTCTAGGATAACAAGAAACCCATTCACATTCTCCCAGTGCATCCAGAGAGGCTCTTCTTACTCCAGGTCTCCCTCCTGGAATGCTTGCCAGACCTTAGATCCCAGCAGCTGGTATCAACAAGAAGTCCACAGACTTGAGCTATCCTCCCAGTTTTACACAGCTGATGATTGTTCCTCATATATTTTATTTAGGCTTCATAATCCAGAGCAGTTCAGTCTATTTTCACAAATCATGAACACTGAACTGGTGACGCAAAGGCTCAGACAAAGCTTATTAGTGGGCCAGCTTTCTCATTTTACCTTTCATGAAGCAGAGTCAAAATTCAATTCAAACTGTGGATATCCCATTGAGTACCCCCTTTATCCACATGCAATTTAGTTAAATAAAGAAAGAATCATCATAGTGCCCAGCAACACAGAAACAACACGGTAATAAATGAAGGCCTGTGGGTAGTTTTCATTTTGTACAGAGCAAACAGATTTAGGAATTGATGCTTGATTTCAATCTCTCAAAACAAATATGATGACTAAGTAATCTGCTGATTGCTTCTAGACTATGCAGTTTACAGGAATAGCTTAATGACTGTTGTCAAAGAATCTTACTCTAATTTTTTTTAATTAGCTCTGAAAAGGACACAATTTGAACATTTCACCTATTGATACACTACACACAGAGAATTCCTTTGCCTTCAAGTATTTCTGGATTCCTTCTTTTTTTATTTCCTGAAGCACCACAAAAGGGGTAAGCTGCAATTAAGTCTGTCATTCCAATTTAAGTGACACTGCTGGACAGAGTTTAAGTAAACTTCCAGAGAGAGGATAAACTATTAACCAGTACAGCACAGGCACATGCTGCTTACCTCCAAATCCGGGTCTCAGTGCAAAGTCATGGTCCTCTATGCGAAGAATCTGCTCAGATTTAAGTGGCCGTACTTTTGTGCTGTCAAGTTTCCTCATTTTAATTTCTCGTTTACTATGTTTAAAAAAAAAAAAAAAGTAAGAAACTTCATTTTTTTCCCTCTGCCTGACTTTCAGAGTGCTAGTTAACTGAAGCAGGGACCCAAGAAGACTGAACAGTTGAATTTGATGTGATAAGGAAAACACCTGTGCTAATAAAGTAGAAGAAAGATACTGAAAAAGGTAGGAAAATTAGCTATGAGGTGCTGAGGTCTATGAGGGACACCAGCTATATAGCAAAAGTCCCAGGGAGAATGTCTAGTTCTTTTTCTGTTCCGCTTAGAGATTGTATCTGTCATTTTATATGAGGTTATAGCTGTTTGAAAAAATGTTATTAGTCACATAACCACTTGCAACTCAGACTTGGAAATTACACCACATATCCACGGTTTTAAACCACTTCATACATTATCCATATTACCGAGAGAGTTATACTTTTCATTATGAATCTTTTTTCCTAGGAGCTCAAATGTGTAAGTATTTTTTCAGAAGGGCTGAGAATCTGCTGGTCCTGGATCCAGGGACTTGATTTTTAGGATCCTCTTTAACATTGCTCAGGTTTGGCCAAGTTACTCTTTAGCTTGTCCCCTTTATTGCTGCTCAGAAATGCAGCATGCCTTTGTATCAAGTCCCATCACTGCATTTTTCCCTATGCCACACATAACTAAGCCTCTGCGTAGCATCATTGCAACACAGTTGAACCTTAAAGCAGGATGCCATGAATTTTGTATTTCTTTTTGGTGACTGTTGCTAATTTCTTCCCTCTACAGAACACACTGCACAGCATCCCAAACTCCACTGGGAAATTCACAGGCCTAAGAATGAACTTGCGCTCTGCAGACAGAAATCTTATATGCTGGGCCTGCATTTGAAATGAACAGCAGATGCCCTTCACAAAGCAGACTCCTTTTCCATTTTTCTGCTATAAACGGAAACCATAGCACAGACAGCAGAGGGATTTGATGCATGCCCATACCACAAAGCTATTTGGTGAAAATACTGACAAGATCTACAGTCAGATCTGGCAGCCAGGGGACACACAGGCTTTAGAAAGAATCCATTACATTACTTGGTTCTGTGTCTGCATTTAGCCTGTACCTGGGGCTAAACTGTAACAGTCGCTCTGTCACCCTCAAACCCTCATCCGTCAGTGAGGGGAATTGGGAAAAAGGAGAGTAAACTCGTGGGTAGAAGTGAAACACATTTAATGAAAACACCACTACACCAAGGTATACTCAGCCAAATAAATATCCAGTCATCACCATCAACCAGCGAGCAGTTCTCAGGAGAAACCAGAGAAGGAGCATAAGGGACCTCATCAGGTACACCATAAGAGCAAACCTTCCCCCTTTGTAATGACCATGACATGATGGGATGGGCTACACCTGTAGCTAACTCAGGTCAGCTGCCCTTACTGACTGAAAACTGCTAATGGCCTGCCTAGCATGGCTGGGCTGGGGTTCAGTACCAGCCAAATTAGGATATTCTGCTATAAGGAAAATATTCTGGTGTCTCCTTAAGTTTCTGCTCCTTGTTGCATGTCCTGCTTTAAGTGGCTTGCCACAAGCAATAACAGAACTAGCTGTACTTTAGATGCAGGATTATGCCCAAGTTTGGGCCCCCATATCGGGAAAGGCATGGGAAGATTGTAAGAACCTGTATAGTTTAATTTAGAGGAAGACGACTGTGGGAACACATCACAGAATTCAGAACACATGAAGAGCTTTTACAGGGCCCGTTGCTCCATGTCCACTCCCCAGTAGGGTAAGCAGTGGCCCCGAGGGAAATCTATGGTACACATTAGGAACACCATTCGCATGGTGAGAATTGTGAAACATGGGAATATATTGCTTGGGCAAGTTTTAAGACTCCTTTCACTTGGGCTACTTAAAAATAGGTTAGGCATATACCTGTAGGAATTACTTAAATACAGCTGCTTTGCCACAGGCAAGGGACTCTCCCTAGGCATAAGTTCTTTCATGCCTTCTGTGATTGTCTTGGCCTTTGCTGCCAGAAACACTAATTATCACTTTAGAATGAATGATAGAAACCTGTTCTGAAGATTTGCCCTGTAGTCAAACACTGCTTAAGATGAGGTATAGAATACCTTAGGATAAGGTATGTGCCTATATTTGATTTTTTTCTCTTTTCTCCCCTTTTTTCTTAATAATGAAGCCCAAGAAATTACTTTTTAAAATGCTATGTTACAGGAATGCTGAGGTGGCTGCTGGGCTATTCAGAACTGTTGGGCTTGAACAAATTCATTTACTTTCGTATTCTTGAATGTCTCTGACAGTGTTGTCTGAACCAAATCACCAGGGCAATCAGAATGCCCATCAGACATACAGACTTGAGTTTTCTAAGTATGAAAATTATGTGCATGCTAAAATGAAACCCCATGGTTCAGAGAACTGAAATCACCAGAGAGCAAGCCTGTATCAGAGTACAAAGGGCAACAGAACTGAAGAGCTGCAATGCTCTGCAATAGGTATACAAGGAAATTCTGCTGCTTGGGAACCAGTATAAGAGAAAATGATGAATTATGTTTAGAATGCCATGGCACAGCTAAAAGTTTGGAACTATGAGGTTATTTGTCATCAGATGTGCCAAGGAAGGTACATGTTTGATGCTCCGATGATTTCATTGGAAGAAGCAGGCTAAAATTATATCATAGTATCACAGAATGGTTCGGGTTGGAAAAGACCTTAAAGCTCACCTAGTTCCAACCCCCCCCGCCATGGGCAGGGACACCTTCCACTAGACAAGGTTGCTCAAAGCCCCATCATCTTCTAGATGCCAGTGTTACCCTGGCAGATGTCAGACTGTGGCTTTTGAGAGGAAAAGCTCACCTAGACTCACAGAATTATAGAATCGTTTATGTTGGAAAAGATCTTTAAGATCATCGAGTCCAATCATAAACCTAACACTGCCACGTCCACCACTAAACCATGTCCCTAAGCACCAAATCTACGTGTCTTTTAAATACGTCCAGGGATGGTGAGTCAACCTCTTCCCTGGGCAGCCTGTTCTAGTGCATGACAACCCTTCCAGTGAAGAATTTTTTGTGAAATCATCACTAGATGCATGTATCAGCAGATACATGCACCTAAGGAAAGGAAATCTCTCTTTACCTACCTGGGGCAGTAGCAACAAAGGGACCTCTGACAGATGGCTTGGTATTGCCTTAGATTTGGGCAACGATAAATACAACGATAAATTTGTTGCTCTCGGTGAGGCACTTGTTCAACAAATTACTACTTCCAGTTGTAATAGCTGTGCTTTCCACAGCTGTATTCCACGCAACAATTCACATGATGTAAATGAAACAGTAATCTATAATTAAATTCCCACAGAGGTCATAAAAAGCGCTTGAAGTGTTTCAGATCACACAGGAAAGACACCTATGCTGGTACTTATACAGGAAGTTAACAGAGGCACTAGCTATTTGGATGATAAAAAGTGAGATACACTCTTTTGGGCACTTCCCTACCCAATACTGTTATACATACTCATGGCTCGATGCCTTAGTGTCTGACCAAACTTTCAAAAAGGAGTTAGTTACTGCGTACAAAACCAAAACAACTAAGTCAGAATTCTTTAACAGTGGACAAATACATAGCAGTCTTTTAAGACAAATTTAGCTGTTCCTACCTAACCTTGAATACCTATCAGCGAATGAAAGGTCAAAGGCCCGCTCAAGGGTACTTGGATTGGTTTTTGTTAAAGGATTTAAGCACATAAAGTCATCAGTGTAGTTCCATAATCATTGGCATTCATGGGATTGATGTGGTTAATATCCCATCTGGTTGTAACTTACCAGGTTATCAAAAGCTTATGCTGGTTCAAGGAGGAATCGGACAAATTCATGGAAAAGAAATCCACTGAAGGTCAGTAAATCCGCAGAAATTACATCCAACACAGGAAGTCTCTGAGAGAAATCTGATGAGTGGATATGGATGGGAGTATTAGGTGGAAATAACTTATTTGTTAGCCCTGCCCTTATTGTTCCAGATTTGTGCTTACAGCCTTTGTTGTAAACACGGCACTATAGTACATAGACCTTTGGTAAGATCCTGCGTGGCTGTCCTTCTGTTTTAATGCCCTGCGTAACTAATGGTATGGTAAAAGTTCTTGGGAGGAGAGTGGAGTAAGGCCAAAGCAGTTCTGGGTGTTCAGGAAGATATAAACACATTTCCGGCACCATCCTCATCACAACAGATCTTTGAAAAATCTGAAACTTGTGTCTTATGAAGGACAGTTAGGAGAACTTTTTGGTTTCAGTTACACTAAGTTAATATCCAAGATACTACACTTCCTTTACTGCTGTAGTATGGGGGTAGAGGGGAAAAAAATTCTCGTCATATTCAAGATGAAACTAGTTAAGTTTATGAAAATACTACGAAGGACCCATTTATGAAAAGAATACCCTAGATTTAATGGCCATAAGCTTCTTTCCAGTGCTATGTCCCCAAGACACTCCAGCTACTACCAAATCAAAGCTATCTTGGAGTTACTCTAGCCACTATCAAATCAAAAGTCTGTGGAGTTATACAGCAGTCTGACCTCTTAAACGTTTTAACACATTAAACAAATCTTGAAGCACAGAGAAATGTAATAATCACAACTGTACATTTCTTTCTCATATAAAAAAGTCTGTTTCTAAGTTGTCAGTAACATCAGCAACATGTACTGTCAAAAAGCCTAATATTTTGACAGTCGAATGTTTTGTTCTTTGCTGTAGGAAATGGAGCATAAGAATAATCTCTTTCTCATGTACTTTTGGTTAATACTTTAAAATCTTCTTTACAAGAGAATGCAGACAAATAGCTTTGGTGGGAGAATTGGGTTACTCTTATTGAAACAGTAGAACTTGTACGTTAAGTAACGTTTTCACATGGGATTCTTTTTAAAAGGCCACCCATGTAACCAAGGCCATCTGTCATCTGTGTCCCTAATAACCCTAGTGCTGGATCAAAGGGTTTTCCCCCAGAAAGAAAAAGAAGCTTGTAGAAAGTCAGACCCTGTTGCAATGTACTTGAGGATAATGCCACCTTTAGAACAAAACCAGAGAATCACACAAAGAGAAATTAAATGTATTTAGATTCTTTGCACAGAAAAGCTGATTTGCAGCCGTTAGGCTTTGAGATTTTCTATGGCTCCGATTCTGCAGTCTTCTTTCCAGTTCCAAATCACTAGGACCGAGGAAAAGAAGACATGGAAGGCCAAAGCATTGCCTTGTGTAAAGAAAACTGCTACACCAGTCATCACCAGCTGAGATTGCAGTACTGGGATTCCTCCTTGTTCCTGTTCTTCCCTTCTGTTAACACACATCTGCCTATCTCACAGGATTGTCGTATGGATCCATTTGTATGTATCAGTAAAGATCTGTGAAGATGGAGAGGAAACTGTGCTACTATTGTTACTGCTGTCCTGCGGCAAGAGGTCAGCAAAGGATGTCCAGAAGGATACTGCAAAATCTACTGCCTCCTACCACCAGGCTTCTCTCTGGGTCAGTGTTTTTTTTATGTCAGTGATGGAGCAACTCCTCTCAGCTACTGCAGGACAGGATAAATGCAAACAACAGAGGCACGTGCCTCCCTTTTATCACTGTCAAAAGAACATCAGCTAAGATTAAAATAGACATTCCTTACCACTACAGCAATAAGAAGATATTTTACTCTGTTTCCGTTTGATTCTTAACTGCTTCCTGAGACTAGTAAAGCACAAGATTGGACATTATGTCGATATAAGGGCTAGCTGTGTTTGTTTCATTCTGTTGTTACAAATAATTGTGCACCAGCATTCACTCTAAAACTTTGAAACAGTCTGCTGAATAGCCATTCTTTTCATGAGCTTTTGGCTTAGACCAAATGTGAACCTATGACCTTGAATTGAAATCCAGAAATACTAAGCAATATAGCATCTCCAGACGCCCCCATTGTGTCACTGGGGTATGTTCTGTGGCGTTGCATTGCTTAAATGTGATTTTATCAAGATATGTAAAGATTCAGAGATATGGCGCTGCTGGACTACCATATAAGAAGTGATACAGAAGGTGAACAGCTGTACACTTGTGTCCTGCTTTCATCTGGGATAGAGTTAATTGTCTTCCTAGTAGCTGGTGCAGTGCTGTGTTTTGGATTTAGTGTGAGAATAATGCTGGTAACAGAGTGATGTTTAAGCTGTTGCTAAGTAGAACTTGTCCAAAGTGAAGGACTTTTCAGCTCCCCATGCTCTGCCAGCAAGAAGCTGGGAGGGAGCACAGCCAGGACAGCTAACCCGAACTGGGCAAAGGGATATTCCATACCATAGGACGTCATGCTCAGTGTATAAACTGGGGGGAGCTGTCTGGTGGGGGGGAGGGTTGTTGCTTGGGGACTGGCTGGGCATCGGTCAGCGGGTGGTGAGCAATTGCTTGTGCATCACTTGTCTATCTGGGGTTTGATTTATCTCTCTTGAATTGCTATATTCATTTTCATGACAATTCTTATCTTCGTTGTTGTTGTTATTATAATACTCTATTTTAGTTATTAAACTGTTCTTATCTCAACCCACAAGTTTTACTTTTTTTTCCCCCAATTCTCTTCCCCATCCCACTGTGGGGGGAGTAGTGAGCGAGCGGTTACACGGTGCTTAGTTGCCAGCTGGGGTTAAGCGATGACAACCTGCTACAAAGCACGTAACTCGAAAAAACAGCTTATGAGAGGAAGCTGCTTATGTTAATTTTCCTCAATATGTGACGTTGTATGAACAAACTACGATTATTATGAACTATTAAATTAAGCTTCCTTTTTTATTTTAATAGGGGGTTAAGTACATAGAAAAATGTAACATTTGTATCTGTTCTCCTTCCTTAAATGAAGATGCTTATTACAATTTCTCCTATCTCCCAATAAAGTGAGACGTTGCTTCGATTATCACTGGCAGTCATTTGTCTCTTTACACACTATTCGATTAATCTGGAAACACATTCAGAGACTACACGTGGCAGATGATGTGAAATTTCATTTGTGGGAAAAAGCGCTAACACTAGCCAGAGAAACTTACGTGTAAAATCCTCTGTGTCATTATTTATTTTAAACCAGCTTCTTGATTGGAAACACTAAGAACAGAGACAATCTTCAATGTCTAAAGCAGAAGCAGAAAAGGAAGACACTGTGTCATCACTAAAAATAAGGTACAATTCACCCTATTTAGTGCCATGAAAGTGTCTTCTGTATCTTGATAGTGTAGCTACTCTGCTGTTTAGGTAATGGAAGTCACTTTATAATATTGTCATAGAACTTTGGAAGGCATTTCTGCTTCTTGTAATAGGAGCGAGAGAGCAAGAATACTTTGTACATCACAAAAGCAGCCTGGTATCATGCAAGTTAAAAGAGCTGCGTGTGGGTGTGATTGTGTACACACCTGCACAGTCACAAAGCATTTATGAAATCACTATATGAAATATCTGGTTAAAAAAATTAATTAATAGTTCACTATTTCTGTTTTGGGAACAGCCTACCAATACTACACATACTATAAATCCAGAAACTGGGAAAGCAGGACAGTGAACAAAAAGAGTGCAGTGAAAGGTTGCTGGCAGCATAAAGTTTATCAGGTGAACATAGATGGAGAGAGTATATTGCTTACCTGTTATGCTTTCTTAAGAATGAGAATTGTTGCCGATGATGAAGACGGTGATGCTGACTTTGAGAACTGTGTAGCACTGCTGTTGGCCACAGGCAGGTGAGGAACAGAATTTTCATGACCAGGACCATCTCTTCCAAAAGAGAAATGCACCTAATCAGCCAATCCACCTTGCTGACTTTTTATTTTTAGTGTTTTTACTCTTTAGAAACAGCATAGCATACAAAGGATGCAAATGAAGCAAGGTATCACTGAAGAAAGAAGGCAGGGGCATCCCAGTTCTGATGACCTTGACGAGTTCCCCTCATATTTTGGCAAATCATAAAAATTCCTTCAGCTCTAAATCCCTGTGTCATCTGCTGTCAAACCAGAAGCACCTTGCTTTTAGAAATATGGTAGATACTGCAATTTGTTTGGCCAGGGTGCAGTCTTATCCATTGCTTCCAGTCTTTCAGCATAGGAGCATATTTGAATTCTCCATCGCCCGCTCAGTAACCTTTTCAACATAGGCTGTGCAATGTGATGTCAAACATTTAATCCCCCTTAAATCCCACAGAAAACCATACAAAAATCTGCTTTAATGACAAAGGTCTCTAAATTAATCTTGCTTTCTATATATGTGTGTATCTGCTCAAAATATTTTTCTGTACAGATCAAGCTTTTTCATTAACTGGCTATATTGTATTGTCTTCCCAACAATTAACGTCATTTATGTTTCTGTAATGTGCAGTAGCAAGCATTTTGCCTGTAGATACAGAACTACTTTTGGATAGTAGTCCACACTAAAACCGAAGTCTTGTTTCAATATTCCCCAATAACATTTGGAAATACCAACAATTTTTTTTTCTCTCCTTTTTTCTTTTAGTAAGCTCTGCAGCTACCTATTTAATTTACCCTAAATTTTCAAGGTATGTGCACGTCTACAATTCAGTATTCTTCCACCACCCCTAATTTTATCTTTATTTCATTTACTCTGCGCTGTCTGTTCAATAGCAGAGTGAATGGCGCAACGTTTTGTGAACAAAATGTTGCTTAAGCCATAACTTGGACATGCCTGTTGCTCCTATGAAAGGTGGTAAGATTTCTTGTGGTCTTAAAACTGGGCAATCCTGGACACAGCTTCTCAGCTGACAGTCAAATTCATCCTTTTCAAGCCATCAGCAAGTTCAGCAATTATCAAAATTGACAGCATGTATTTATTTTTCTTTATCTAGAAAATGAAGAGGTAGGAGATCGAAAGTTAGGGAAATGGAAATACCCAACCCCTGTCTAACAGATGTAGAAGTAATTCAGGTCTCCCAGTGGTAGGCTTCTTCCTAAGTAAGACAAATAAACAGAGGAATGAAAACAAACCCAACGCTATGTCTGCTAGGACTGTTAACACCCAAGCAATTTTGAGGTAATAATTCTGTGATGTGGCATCTGCCCCCTCAGAAGTTCCCTCAGATTCCCAATTAACTTTGGGCTAAGAAATAATTCTAAGATGCAAATGATTTCCAGGAGGATGTTACCAAAGAACAGCTAATTCCCAATTGTTTTTTCCATGTAGAGTCGAACCGCGATCTGCCTGTGACTTAAAAAATCCCTTCCCGACCATGAATAACACTTCAAAAGTGTTAGATTGAATTTAGTGACCTAGAGCAAAGGCTTTCAACTCTGTTATCCACCTCATTCTACACTGTGCATAGTTCAATCGTTTTACTGTTCAGCCAATTATGGAAGACCATGTATAGTATGACCCAGGGACAGTCAGATAGTAGTGCTTCAAGCAGGTCTGGTGTATTCCCAGGGTGCAGTTTCTAGAGAAGGTAAACACAAGATGTAGTTAATAAGACCTTCAACAGGTTCCATTGATTTGCACTATCATTTTGACGGAAAAGGGAGAATAAACAGTAACTGATGAGAATTTATTCCAATACTAGTTCCTGAGCCTGTCTGGTTGTCTGGTCTCATCCAGCCTACATATATCAAAGTAGCAGCACACCTGATTAAAATACATTAAGAAAAGATCCAAGAACTTTTGTATCCTCCTCTTTCCCCACCCAAGCAAAGGCCCAACAGTAGCAGAAAATCAGATAAAAAAGCTAACTACACTGCAGGCTGTGTGGTAAATGTGTTACCACATTTCTGCATATTCAGCTACCTACACATTCGTCAGTGTTAACTCATTTCCAACCATTTTCCTCAACTACAAAGGAATAACAACATGTATATACTTTTTACTCTGTCAATAGTAATAACCCATACTGTTTCGAGAGGCTTTTGGGAAAGTCATATTGTAAACATTAACGTCATCCTTAGCTGAAACTGCTAGCTGTTATCCTCAGTATGCAGGAGACATAGAATGGGGAAGAAGAGGAAGTTCCAGGTGCTGAGGTTATCCAAGAGCTCTGAAGGGACCTGATGTGAGATCATGCATAAATGTGTTGACTCTGTGAGCTGACGTCAAGGAAATTGAGAGTCCATTAAAAATAAATACATTATAATTGCTTTGTGTATTTGTTTCCCAGTTGGAAAAGGGAGTGCTTAGAACCCCTGCTCCAGGGATATGGCAAAGACAAACAATTTGGCTTTGCAGAATGACTGGCGTGCCCCTGGCTAAGCTGCATATTGATGTCCCTCCCTTGAGAAGGCACATCAGCCAAGAGGGGAGTCTTTAACTTAGAAAGAGGCAATTTGATGTTGTCTTCATTCAGGTATCAGAACCCTGCTGTCTTATTATTCCTGGCTGTAGCAAGGACTTTACAACTAAGCTGTGGTGCTCAAAAGACTGCTCAATGGAGGACTTCCAAAATATGCTCAATGTTCCTTTGGCTGCCCGTGCCAAAATCAGCTTGAGTCAAAAAAAAAAATCTGCACGCACTGACATATTCCACCACCTTCAACTCGTTGATCTGATGACACTAAATATTATCTTGAGGTGCTTTTCCTAAGCACACTGAGCATCTAAGCACTATCCCTCTGTCCTTTGCTAAGGCATATTTCCAGAAACTAATTGTCTAGCCCACACACCCAATGTATTCGGGGGGGAATCCTGCAGAAGGAAATGGAGAATACTTCCATTAACGGCCGTGTAATATCAGTGAGAGCAACTAGATGTCACTCACAGCAACAGGGATTCTTCATACTAGAGTTTTCATTTCTTCTGGGTAAGAGAGCATTACGCAGAGCAGATTATAATATCGTTATAAGTTACCATTAAGAAAACAGGTTAATCTCCCATGAATTTGTCAGTAATAAATTCTAAAAAGTTCTGTCTTTGTGGAGAATAAAGACAGGATAATCCACTACTTGTATTAGGCGAGTTGTTGATAGGTCCTTGTGTTTAAACACAGACCTTTGCTATCATTAAAACATTTATTTAAAATTATCTCTTCTCTGTAGCCCATGAAAAGTTTGTCATGCTTATCTTTCAAGGACAAAATGCAGTGCATGGTAACAGTGCATAAACTCATTGGAACAGTTAAACAACCAAGGAAGCAAAAGAAACAAAGGTAAATACACCACCTGGTATCAAAAAAATGAGATACCTTCTTTTAGTAAGCAAAATAAAACGTAGTTTCAGGTAATTGCAATCTGGAACTACAAACCCCTCTCTGCCACAGATCATAAAGCAAAGTAAATTGACAACAGCTATTATAAAAATAAGAACAGAAGAGTGCCAGGAATGAAGATATGTTTCAGAGGCTGGAATTTTGCATTCAATCTGAGCACATCTAAAGGCCACTTTAAACATATGGAGCTGTATTTTGTATTCTCCTAATCAGAGAATGAAACACAAGAAAAAAAACATTCCTAAGAGCCTCCTAAGAGGCATCCATTTCTGATAAACAACCGGCAAACCGTAGAAAGCAGATTAACCAGAGCAGCGACTGCGACAGTGTGAACGCAATACTGCAGCACAAGAACAGGCAGCATTTTGCTTTTCTATGGTAACAGACTCAGTGCATAGCACTTACCATTTATATCGTGGTGACTCGCAAAAAATACTAGTCAGAATTAAGGACACTTTCTCCTTCTTGTATTAACACAAATGACAAAGCAATTTTCCAGACTAAATTATGCATTCACATTTCCTAAAAAGATGAAGTGAGAGGAAAGCAGAGACTGAGCCTGATGATTCCATTTTGCAGATCTCAGTACACGTGCATTGGGACCCAGCTCTTACAGTCCTGCTCTTTAGCCAATATCTTAGTAGGGGTGGCAAGTGAACATTCATTACTGTCCCAAATGGTATGAGATTACAAACCGGGCATGTAAGGACTGCAAAGTACTACAAGAGAATTCAAAAATCAGCAAAACCCTCAGCTCAAAGTCTATTCAAGATTTTTGCAAGGTGCTTACTGAGGTGGACTTGCCCTGGGGTTTTACAACTGGCTTAAATAGAACTATCAGCCTACTGCTGAAACACTGTCCTCCCCTTCATCCCTGCAGTGCACTTGCGACCCTTGCTTCACCATCAGCAACCGTTCAGCCAGTTGTTACAGGAATGGGCAGAAGGGTGGAAGGGAGGGCCTGCCCCTTCTCTGTGGCGACACTCGGCTAGACTGGCTTAAGCCAACCTTGAAACTGCACTCTTAATTTCACAGAATCATAGAATCATTATGTTGGAAAAGATCTCTGAGATCATCAAGTCCAACCGTTGACCTAATACCGCCATACCCACTAAACCATGTCCAAAGCGTTTTTTGAACACCTCCAGGGATGGTGACTCCACCACTTCCAACACTCCGCCTGTTACAGTTTGACTACTCTTTCAGTAAAGAAATTTTTCCTAATACCCAATCTAAATGTCCTCTGGTCCAACTTGAGGCCATTTCCTCTCATCCTGAATTTCTGCTATGCAATATGAAAAATAGCAATAATATTGAAGTAAGCACGTAATATTTTTCGATGAGTGTTTAGTTCTACTGTAAAAAAGAAAATCCTGATTGTTTTCTTTTTCCCTTTTATGGGACATGCAATTTTTGCTGTCTTAGTACAAATTTCCTGTCAAATTATGGTTCTGGACTTAATGTTTCTTACGCTTTATTAACATCTCACTGTCTGCGGAATTCTCGTATCATCAAAAGGAGCATTCCAGACAGCAGACAAAGCCTACTGTGAAGGAAAACAAACATCTATAGATGCA